AAAAGCAAGGCTGTTGTATCATAATAGTAATATATTTTGTTAACAAATGCTTTCATGAAGTCATAGATTATCCAGTATTAGACTATCCCTTGGCTCTGTCTTTTAAACTCAGAGGAATCATTTTGAGCCAAGATAAATAAGTTAGATGCTCTATTCCATTTAAGTAGAACATTTCAAGAATCTAAAGATCTAAAGTTTGTTGAAGTCCTATCAGAAATGTTCTTTTGTTTATTTACTATTAGAAAATGCAAAGGTATGTGGACATTGATGCCAGGGATCATTATATATTAAAGCAGTGGTTCTCTAAGTGTTGCACCAAGACTAACAGCATCAGAATCATCCAGGAACTTGTCAGGAACTCTGGGGGTGAGGCCTAAAATCTGTATTTTCACAAGCTCCTCCCAGGAAATTCTGATGGAAACCACTATTTAAAGATACTTTTTTAAAGTTAGGATTTAATTGCATTGAGGTGTTTGCTATTACCTGTGATTTCTTTGTAAAAGTTCTGAAATTGAGACATCACTAAACAAGTCTGAACAATTCTTTTTTTTTTTCCCATTTATTTATTTTATTGCGTTTTAGGTTTTGGAGTACATGTGAAGAACATGCAAGATTGTTGCATAGGTACACACGTGGCAGTGTGATTTGCTGCCTTCCTCCCCATCACCTACATTTGGCATCTCTCCCCTTGCTGTCTCTCCCCAGCTTCCTACCCCCCACCGTACCTCCCCTATTTCCCCCCAAATGACCCCAGTGTGTAGTGCTCCCCTCCCTGTGTCCATGTGTTCTCATTTGAACAATTCTTTATATGATGTATTTCTAAAGTATACCCTTTAAAGAAATCTATGGATAAGATTAAAAAGTCTTCAGAGTCATATATTTTCTCCTTATTCTTAAAACTGTTCAATGTGGTGCTTATTAGATACTTTTCATTTGCCCATAAACATTTCTTGACCAAATGCCCATCAATGATAGACTGGACAAAGAAAATGTGGCATATGTACACCATGGAATACTATGCAGCCATAAAAAAACGACGAGTTCATGTCCTTTGTAGAGACATGGATGAATCTAGAAACCATCATTCTCAGCAAACTGACACAAGAACAGAAAACCAAACCCCACATATTTTCACTCATAGGTGGGTGATAAACAATGAGAGCACTTGGGCACAGGGAAGGGAACAACATTCACTGGGCCGGGTGCGGGGGTGGAGAGGAAGGGAGGGGAGGGACAGTGGAGGGGCAGGGAGGATGGGGAGGGATAACACTGGGAGAAATGCCTGATGTCAGCAACGGTAGGGGGAAAGGGGGGCGGGGAGACAGCAAACCACCATGGCATATATGTACCTATGCAACAATCCTGCAGGATGAAGGATGTGCACATGTAACCCAGAGCCCAAAGTACAAAAAAAAAATCAATTAATTAAAAAAAAACAGTTAGTGGTTTGTTACAAGACTAAACATACTCTTATTGTACAATATAGCAATTACATTCCTTAATACTGACCCAAAGTTGAAAAATTAGGTCCACATAAAAACGTGCACACAGATACTTATAGAAGGTTTATTCATAATTTCCAAAATTTGGAAGCAATCAACATGTTCTTCAGTAGGTGAATAGATAAATTGAGATAAACGCAGACAATAGAATATTATATAGTGCTAAAAAGAAATGAGCCATCAAGCCACAAAAAACCATAGAGGAATCTTAAATGCATATTACTAAAGAGGACAATCTGAAAAGGCTATATACTGTATGACTTCAACTATATGAATTTCCAGGAACAGCGAAACCATGGAGACAGTAAAAAGATTAGTGGTTTCCAGGATTTGTGGGGAGAGAGAGATGACTAGACAGAGCACAAAGGATTTTAGGGCAGTGAAACCACCCTGTATGATAGTGTGAGGATGGATACTCATTATACATTTGTCCAAACCCACAGAAGGTACACCACCAAGTGAACCCTAATGTAAACTATGGAGACTGGGTGATAATGCTGGTTCCATGCAAGGTCCACCTGGTGGGAATGTTGATAATGAGGAGGCTGTGCATGTGTGAGGGAAAGGGGTATATGGGAAATCTCTGTACCTTCAGCTCAGTTTTATTGTGAACCTAAAACTGCTTTAAAAAAATAAAGTCACTAAAAAAACAAACAAAAAACCTAGGAAAAAATGCAAAATGACATGCTTTTGTGTGTGTTCTGTCTCATTCATCAAATTTGATATTTCTTTGATAATTTTCTTTTTTCTCCATTGACTCTTGTTTAAATGCTTATTAGCTGGTTATTATTCATCCTGGAATCCTGGAATCAACCTGTATATGTCTTATCTTTTCTCTCCAATTTTTCCGTTTCATTGTTTTCTGGGTATACTTTTGGAAAGAGCTCTTCAACTTTATCACTCTATTAGCTTTAAAGTGTTTCTGATATCACATTTAGAAAACATATTTATAAAATCCCTTCTGTTAATTTGTTCATTTTTTATAAGTATTAGCACTGCCTTTTTGTTTCATAGATGTAATGTCTTTTCATCTCTCTGATGACCGTATGTATTTCTTCTTCTACCCTCTGCTTTGCCCTTAAGTTCCTTCTTCTGATTTCTTTTTTTTTTTTTTAGAGGCTTTTCTGAATGTTATTTATATCTGTTTACTGATATTTAAGAAAGAAATGTGCACACATATATACACACAAAAGTGACTTGAATTCTTTTTGTGTGGACCTGGTTTATTTATGAGTTAGTTGAATTATAGGATTAACAGGAAAAGGCCTGAGTCTGTGTACTGGAAAACTCAAAATGTCAGTTAACTGGGGGAGTTTTCCCCTCTTGGGCCAGTCACTGCAGTGGGATCCTCCAGTGTTCTGCTTATGGCATAACCCTGGCTATGAGTACTTTAGAGGTCAGGGAGGAAAGGGCTTGGAAATCCCACTTTCCTCTGTGAAACTGTTAATAAACCCCCCTTTTCAGCACAGTTGCCTCCTTTCCCTTCTGTGCCTTGTGTCACCCAGTGGGGTATCTCTCTGATTAAATTTCTTGGTAGAACAAAGCTCCCATCATTCACCTGACGCCAAAGCTGGGGGATGAGTACTTGTCGATCTGCCCCAGGTGCAGCAGTGTACCTGCTCCTCATTGAGACCACTTCCCAGCCTAATCACTTAACTCACCTTTCACAGGACCTGAAGCCTCAAATCACTAAGCCTCTCTGGGGTTGGTGCTTGTCGGCTTCTCCCCCAGCAGGGAGCTTTCTCTCATTTACTCAGTAAGTTGCCAAATTCATACACTTTACATCTTTTTAATTCTTATATTTTGCTATCTTTTTGGTGTTCTTTAGCCTTCTGTGATTCACTCATTCATGCATTCATTTATTCATTCAACAAACATTTTCTGAACACTTCCTTTGTGTCTGGCACTGTGTCAGATGAAGTGAATGTAGTCAGCTAAGACGCAGAAATCTTTTTCCTCATGTGCCTTACATTTTAAGAGCAAGAGCCAGATAACAGACAAACAAATAACATATACAGTATGTCAGATAGTGGTCATTACCACATGTGGGAAAAAATAATGTGGGGAAGAGGTAGAGAACATGCTGGTCAGGGAAGCCCCACAGATAAGGTGATATTTGAGCCGACAGCTGGCAAAAGTTTAGAAATAGACCTTAGAGCAGAAAGTGACGGCAGTCCCGCAGCTCTGGGCTGATGACCTGAGCATGGCTAGGTGCTTTTCCTCTGCTCCCATAGCATCTTGAACATGCTTTAATTATAACACTTAGCACCATGTGCTATTGCGATTATTAAATTACATGTCTGTTTCTATGACTTGGCAGAGCCGCTCAACATCTGGAACTTTGTCTTATTAACTAGTATGTTCCCAGAAACTAATACATCCTATTAGATGTTCAGTGCATAATTGTTGATTCAATGAATGAGAAATGAAAAGTTCAAGTAAATTGCTGACCAGAATCAAGCCCTCAGGCTCTGAATTTAGGGTTAGGAGTCCGGGTTAGGAAGAAAGACTGTATATATGCTTTTGAGGCAAGCAGTTAGTGAGGGAATGAGGCACGATTACTTGCAGGTAGCTACAAGCAATAAAAATGGGGTCAAAAACGTTAGAGCAGAGGGACACGCCCCCTAGGAGACTGAAACTGTTACAACCGGCTGTGACAATGAACAGATTGCAGACTTCCTCCTTAGGCACGGATGAGAACGGAAGAAACTGGCCGCAACTGGTTAAATCCAAGATGGTTGAAAACTTGGCTAACTGCTGACCCTTAGCTTCATTATGCCCTTTGGTATCATAAAATTTCCATAACGAAACTTTCCACTCCCATCATGCACCTGACGCCATAACAGTTCCGGATTAACTATCTTTAGTCAAGAAAACGGTGGCACCCTGATTCTGAGAATTGCTCACCCATTTTCCAGAAAACGCCTCCCCTTATTATAGAGTACTTTCTACCTTCATTGTGCTTATCCCTATATTATATGAACCGCGTTGCCTGTGACTCATTCTTTGAGTGCCCACACTCTTCCCTTGGGTGTATCCTTGCTTTTGCTCCGCAATAAAATGTCTACACTTTCACTTTGGTCTCATTTTCAGATTCTTTTATGCTTTGATGACAAGAACGTGCACTGGCCTACTGGCAACAGTTTTAGATGCCCTCCGAGATCAGTGTGCTTGTTTATACCAGAAAAATGTTATCTGGGCCAGACAACGGTGCACTTGCCTGTAATCTCAGCATTTTGGGAGGCCAAGGCAGGCAGATCACAAGATCAAGAGATCGAGACCATCCTGGCCAACATGGTGAAACCACGTCTCTACTAAAAATACAAACATTAGCTGGGCATGTCTACAGTCCCAGTTACTCGGGAGGCTGAGACAGGCGAATCGCTTGAACCCGGGTGGTGGAGGTTGCAGTGAGCCAAGATCACATCACTGCACTCCAGCCTGGCAACAGAGCAAGACTCCGTCTCAAAAGAAAATAAAAAAATAAAAATAAAAATAAAATGTCATCTGCTAGGCCCCTTAGTCACAAAGTGTACCAATAAGATCTGTGGTCATTTTTCACAGCTTTCTGACCACTTTCAGTTTCCAATCAGTGTAACTATGTGGGATGACTCAGCTACAAGTTGCTACAAGAATTTTCTTCTGTGGTTGCTAGAGAGAACCCAAACCAGCTCAGCCAATTAGAGCTCCAGTTGTCACTCCAACCCGCGCTGGCCCTGGGAGTGAAGGGAAGTGTTTATTTGGCGTATGTGCGAAGCTGTTCAGAAGTTTCAGAGCCTTTGTCGCTTTGAAAGTCACCTAGATGATGTGGGCATGGTCTCCTAAGCCCCCTGCTAGTTAAGCTCTCTGAAGAGAAGGTGGCAGACCCGGTTTGCTGATCACACCAGGGATCAGGAGGTAAGCACCATGGAGGAACTGGGTTAGAGACTAGAGACTGAACCCTTTCTCCACCAAGAAAGACAGCTGAGGAAAGACCAGCCATGTTATGCACCCCTTTGAGAACTTGAACCTGCGAAAATGGACACCAGCTGTGAAAGGATGGGTTCGTTTGTTTTATTCACTTTAGCCATGTTCTCGGTGTCTTTGAGCTGGTGTTCCTGAACCTTCAGCTTCCATTGGGGTTTATCTATCAGCCTATTTGTAACACTGATCTTTATGTCACATTCCCCTGGCTGGGCCCCGTACCTTCCCAGGCAGTGAACATTTTACTTGACGGAAGCCCCACATAGCACTTGGGAATTTCCCAGTAACGAATGCCTCTTCTCACACAGTGCAGGGCTTCATTTCCTGACCCCACAACCACCCACGAAGCCCCTGGTCTAGCCCCGGTGGGATGCTCTGGTGCGATTTCAACATCACTCTAGTTCTTCATCATCTGTTGCCCTGGTTTGCTCATCCCCGCCCGGAAAGCCTTTTCATTCCAACCTTGCACTTCTACCTCCCCTGTGTCCTCTTAATCTATTCTTTGATAAAACATTTTAAATAAGATATTCTCCTACCTTTTAATCTCAGTCTCAAATCCAGATTGTGACCTGCCATCCCATATGAAACTACTATTTGTCACAAAATATCATGACTAGATATCTACTACTATCACTTTTTTTTTTTTTTTTTTTTTTTTGAGACAGAGTCTCGCTCTGTTGCCAGGCGCCAGGCTGGAGTACAGTGCCGTGATCTCGGCTCACTGCAACCTCCACCTCCTGGGTTCAAACAATTCTCCTGCCTCAGCCTCCCAAGTAGCTGGGACTACAGATGTGTGTCAGCATGCCCAGCTAATTTTTATATTTAGTACAGATGGGGTTTCACTATTTTGGTCGGGATGGTCTCGATCTCTTGACCTCGTGATCTGCCTGCCTCGGCCTCCCAAAGTGCTGGGACTATGGGCATGACCCACCACACCCGGCATATTATCACTTTTTATACTGATACCTAACCCTGACTGAATGATTACTCTTTGCAAGGCTCTGTTGTAAGTTCGTGACTTACTTGAATGGAATTATCTTATTCCAACATTAATTATTTAATGTTGATAACATTTTCCCCATTTTGCAGTTAAGGATATGGACGCTTTAGAAGGGTATAATTTACCAGATGTCACAAAACAGCTAGCAAATAGCAGAACCAGGATTGAAGTCTGTGTCTGGCAGAATAACTGTCAGCCTTGGGCAACAAGTTAACACAGTTTGAAATCCCTGCAGTCCTGGCATTAAGAAGGTAGGCACTGTTCCTCCATTGCAGATGGCACATAGGGGAAATGCTGGGTGGGCTTTCTTTGTTTCATAAGGTGTGTCTCAAAGAGGAATCATTCTCAGGTTTTACTTGCTTAAGAAATTTTCTTTTTGTTCTTCTATATCACCAATTTTTCCTCTCTCCCAGTTCATTCTCATCAGCATGAAATATTCTGTATTTTCTCCAATGTTAGAAAAGCAAGCGAACAAAAAGAAAACACTCTGTCAACTCCACCTCTCCTTCCAGCACTTACCACATTTCTCTGGACCTTTCTACCAAAAAGGTTGGCTTTACTTGCATGCTCCCTTTTTTGTCCAGCCTTTTTCTGACCACTCAGTTTACATGAGCAATTTTACTCCTCATTCCTGGCACTCCTCTGCCTTGCCTGTTTTGTTTTCCTTCACAGCACTTCTCAATCTTAATATATTTTGTATACTCAAGTTAAAATTTCTTCTGCACCATTCTCTATCAAAACTGCTATTATCAGTGTCACCAGTAACCCCTAATTGCTAATTCTATATCTTTTCTGCAGTCCTCATCCTACCTAGCACGTTAGAAACATGTGGCACATTTTATCTTTTTATCTCCTTAAGAATTACCTTCTCAGCACCTTAACCACTGTTCTTCCTAGTTTTCTTTTTTTTTTTTGAGACGGAGTTTCGCTCTTGTTACCCAGGCTGGAGTGCAATGGCACGATCTCGGCTCACCGCAACCTCCGCCTCCCGGGTTCAGGCAATTCTCCTGCCCCAGCCTCCTGAGTC